CCCCTGTGAACTAAAACCGTTAACAGGTAATGTTAGAGTCCCGTGCCCTCACAGGACGTCGAGACTACTAGTATGAATTTTGTTCAGTCGGTTTGGGCAATGGATTGCCTTGTGGTTCAAGCTTTAGGTCGTTATATATGTTTATCTTTATTCAACCATATGAAAAATCAGAAGGAATGGGTGTATAGTCAGAAAGAAATGCGAACATTAGTGACTTGTAGTGTTACCATAGAGTTCTAGATAAGTTTTGTCATTGAACAATATATCACGTGACTAACCACGGGTCCGGGTAGTCCTGTGGGTACCTGGGTCCTACAAAAACGCTCCTAAACGCCAAATGATAGCTGAGGCCTTTTGTAAGATGGTTTTTGGCACATGTGCTCTTGGATGGACAATTTCGCCCATTTTCATAATGCGTTCAGATATTCAGCCTTTGTTAAATACATTAAGTGCAGTGGTGATTGTCAGCATTCCCGATTTACTATCGATCCTCAAACGGGATTCCAGTGTACAAAATCGTGACTTTATTTATAAAAGCCAGTTCAAACAAACAATCAGAAACTTCAGCGAATGATACAAAATTATTTAACCCGATTCTGTGTAAATATGTTAGACTTTCAATGGAGTATATGACACTGCTATTTTCATAGATCGTTCCTGTTGTATATCATGAAACATATAATGAAAACTCCCACACTAATTCTCTCAGATGAAAGAGGCAGCAAAGACACTCTAAGCTTTACAGGAGAAATACAGGACAATTTGTTACAATTTATTTTATTTTGGTTACAATTTATAACAGCAAGCACTTGGTTTTATGTGCTACCTAGCAGCTACGGACACTAACGAGTTATTTCGATGCCATTTGGCACGAACTGAAAACGGCGCAAGGCGTCAGATGTTAAATTCACGGGTGACGCCTGAGCGACAGGGTATAAACGGTTAGGTGTGTATGCACTTTCGATTAGGCAAGTAGAGTTCGCTCCCTTCTCGAACCACCGATAATGCATATTCGGTTTTATACACTTCCTGTTGTGATGTCAACCCGAATCAACCCTTATTCATTTTCTAGTTGGAAATTACTAGATATATACCCCAGGGACCACTTTTTCCATGATGTGTGTTTTCAAAACAGAAGAAAAACATCTATCCTAGTCCACAACAGGCACACTCGTACTCTGCGGGGCCGTTAATTTCTCTTCCGAGAATCAATATATTACGAACCTTGTGACATATTGAAAGTACATTCCTGCTTTGTCACAAACAGCCCGAGTTAAACTTCCTTGTCATTAGATATTACTGGGGACTGGGCTTTTCCTAGAACAGCTGTCACAGACTGCAGTTGTGCTATACCAGGGTAGGTCGCTAACGACAGGTAAGTAAGAAATTGAATTATTTTAGTTAAATGTTCGATCACACATTCGTATTGAAAGTCGACAGTTTGAACATTCTGTCCGTGCTGGGAAATATTTAACTTTCACTTTGAATGGCGGGCATTTTTTTATAAGTTCGAAAATGAATAATCGCATCAGTGCTTAATTTGTAAATGAGAAATACGATATTTTCATGTCACTACTCATTTATTGTTTGTTGTAATGCTATCCACGTAAATCTGTTTAATTTCTTATATATGCAATGCGAATTCTATTTATAATGTACGTAAGGTCGACTGATAAATCGCAGCTACGTTTGTTCGCTCAGACTGGAGAACAGTGTGTTGAGTGAATATAGTCTGTGTTTGTGAGTGGGTTCAGGCGCGTACAGAGTGGTTTGCTATTCAACAGTCAGTAATGACTTAATATTTTCTAATAGGAAAGTCGTGTTGAATCATTGATATTATTAAACATATTGTGCTTTCCTCAGACTCCTCAACTCTGTACTGGAAAGGAAATGTTAAATATCCCCCACATCCTGACTAACCTATGCTTAGGTGAGGTGAGGTGAAATTGGGTTTAACGTCGCGTCCAAGATTATTGCACTTATATAGCGACGTGCATGCACGTGTGTGTGTGTGTGTGGCTGCTTGTACTAGTCCGGACTGATGCCGATTTATAGTGCTAGCTCACTGAGATACCATGCCGCAGTTTAACATGAATACCCCACTCAGACACAGTATACTGACTCCGAGCCTACCAGTCCTTGTTTTAGCCCCTTAATGCCGAGCGCCAGACAGGGTAACAACAAGTACCATCTTTTAACGTCTTTTGGTATGACGCGGCCGGGGATCGAACCCCGGACCTTCCGCTCTCCGGGCGGACGCTCTACCACTAGACCACGGAGGCGGCACCTATGCTTAGCATAACCACACGTATTATAATAACAATCTTACACAAGATGCCCATGTCTTCCCTCCTACTGAATCTAGATTCTTAGAAAGTAGGTAACATTGCTCGAGATAGTGATCATCAGATATTCTTAACCAACATTTTACAAATTCCTAGTAATCTATATCAATGAAATGTCTACCACATTCAGCTAAACCTGCACTACTTGATGCATGTTTACCAACACCAAATGCATATTTACAAAAAATATTATGGATTCTATCAATGACATCTCTTTCTAAGAAGCCCTAAACCTCCGCTCCACATAACAAAACTTAAAAAACATATTTACAGGAACATTTGGGTATTTTTGTTGTAACTGCTTTATAACAAACAGAGCTTTACTGGCTTTAGATACAGGAGTATGTTGAACACAATATCCTTTTACGTCCAAATGAATTCTTTATTCTGATTGAGTATCTCTGGCGTTGACGTTTTATAGCTACTTGTTTCAGATTTGTCTATTAGTCCTGAATATTTCGCATTTGAATGTCATTCCTATATGATTATAAGACTGCCTTTGTGAACATTGTTCAAATTACAGACCAGATGCTCTTATAAGTTGCTTAGCAAAAGTATTTGAAAAATGTATATTTATATACGTATTTAATTTCTTGAGAGATAATAATATATTGAATAATTTATGCCTGGTGACTGTACTGCATTTCTGTTGACGTATCTTGATTTCATAGCAAAGACACTTGATAATGGTAAAGAAGTTAGAGCAGTATTTTGGGATACAAGCAAAGCCTTTGATGAGGCATAGTGTGTAAATCTAAAGCTTGTGGCATCCGCGGAAACTTATACAACTTGTTTAAAAGTTACCTTGAAGACAGACTACAGAGAGTTGTTATCCAAGGTAGTAACTCAAGTAACTTTAAGAAACGTGAAACTTGTAATGGATGGAGTCCCACAGGGGTCAGTTGTGGGTTCACTGCTATTTCTTGTATACATTAATTATATAATTGAAGGCATTGATAGGAATACTCGACTGTTTGCAGATGAAACTTCGGTATATGTACTTGTAGAAGCCCCAAATACTACTGCGTATAATATCGATGCCGATTCAGAGAAAATTACCAAATGGGCAGATGAATGGCAAGAAAATTTAATCCAGAGTAAAATCTTCAGGGTAGCAAGGGACCTAAATCATGGATTTTTTTCTCATAGACACTACGGCCTTGTGGCAAATCCATAATGTTGCTATTGTAAGGATGTCTAACGTCTCAGTTTATGGAAAGCTGAAGTAAAATTCATACATAACGTTGATCCTGGTGTGCATGGCTCAACGTTAATTCATTTGTGTCAACTCGACACCCTACGAAAGAAGGGAGTGAATAGCTTATCAGTTCCCTGTTTTAGGACAGGACGTCGAGTGAGTGAGTGAGTTGGGTTTAACGCCGCTTTTAACAGTGTTCCAGTTATATCGCGGCGTGTCACCTTAATGTGAGAGGAAAGCCTGAAGTGATTAAGTTTACCACTTCGGTGAAACCCACGAGCTCGGGTATGGTGCTAACAAACCTAGAATCACCATTGGGACGAAGCGGGATTCGAACCCACAATCATATGTTTCTCGCGTGCATAAGGGACGCAACTCTGCACAGCGAATCGCGACGCTTTGGACTACTGGGCCACCCGTGCCCCCTGTGAACTAAAACCGTTAACAGGTAATGTTAGAGTCCCGTGCCCTCACAGGACGTCGAGACTACTAGTATGAATTTTGTTCAGTCGGTTTGGGCAATGGATTGCCTTGTGGTTCAAGCTTTAGGTCGTTATATATGTTTATCTTTATTCAACCATATGAAAAATCAGAAGGAATGGGTGTATAGTCAGAAAGAAATGCGAACATTAGTGACATGTAGTGTTACCATAGAGTTCTAGATAAGTTTTGTCATTGAACAATATATCACGTGACTAACCACGGGTCCGGGTAGTCCTGTGGGTACCTGGGTCCTACAAAAACGCTCCTAAAGGCCAAATGATAGCTGAGGCCTTTTGTAAGATGGTTTTTGACACATGTGCTCTTGGATGGACAATTTCGCCCATTTTCATAATGCGTTCAGATATTCAGCCTTTGTTAAATACATTAAGTGCAGTGGTGATTGTCAGCATTCCCGATTTACTATCGATCCTCATACGGGATTCCACTGTGCAAAACCGTGACTTTATTTATAAAAGCCAGTTCAAACAAACAATCAGAAACTTCAGCGAATGATACCAAATTATTTAACCCGATTCTGTGTAAATATGTTAGACTTGCAATGGCGTATATGATACTGCTATTTTCATAGATCGTTCCTGTTGTATATCATGAAACATATAATGAAAACTCCCACACTAATTCTCTCGGATGAAAGAGGCAGCAAAGACACTGTAAGCTTTACAGGACAAATACAGGACAATTTGTTACAATTTATTTTATTTTGGTTACAATTTATAACAGCTAGCTCCTGGTTTTATGTGCTACCTAGCAGCTACGCCCTCGCATGGTGACTTTTGTCTACGGACACTAACGAGTAATTCCGATGCCATTTGGCACGAACTGAAAACGGCGCAAGGCGTCAGATGTTGAATTCACGGGTGACGCCTGAGCGACAGGGTATAAACGGTTAGGTGTGTATGCACTTTCGATTAGGCAAGTAGAGTTCGCTCCCTTCTCGAACCACCGATAATGCATATTCGGTTTTATACACTTCCTGTTGTGATGTCAACCCGAATCAACCCTTATTCATTTTCTAGTTGGAAATTACTAGATATATACCCCAGGGACCACTTTTTCCATGATGTTTGTTTTATCAAAACAGAAGAAAAACATCTATCCTAGTCCACAACAGGCACACTCGTACTCTGCGGGGCCGTTAATTTCTCTTCCGAGAATCAATATATTACGAACCTTGTGACATATTGAAAGTACATTCCTGCTTTGTCACAAACAGCCCGAGTTAAACTTCCTTGTCAATAGATATTACTGGGGACTGGGCTTTTCCGAGAAACAGCTGTCACAGCAGTTGTGCTATACCAGGGTAGGTCGCTTACGACAGATAAGTAAGAAATTGAATTATTTTAGTTAAATGTTCGATCACTCATTCGTATTTAAAGTCGACAGTTTGAAAAATCTTTCTCTGCTGGGAAATATTTAACTTTCACTTTGAATGGCGGGCATTTTTTTATAAGTTCGAAAATGAATAATCGCATCAGTGCTTAATTTGTAAATGAGAAATACGATATTTTCATGTCACTACTCATTTATTGTTTGTTGTAATGCTATCCACGTAAATCTGTTCAATTTCTTATATATGCAATTCGAATTCTATTTATAATGTACGTAAGGTCGACTGATAAATCGCAGCTACGTTTGTTCGCTCAGACTGGAGAACAGTGTGTTGAGTGAATATGTGTGTGTGTGACAAACACAACCAACACTGGTTAGGCGTAGGCTGAGGTCTGTGTTTGTGAGTGGGTTCGGGCGCGTACAGAGTGGTTTGCTATTCAACAGTCAGTAATGACTTAATATTTTCTAATGGGAAAGTCGTGTTGAATCATTGATATTATTAAACATATTTTGCTTTCCTCAGACTCCTCAACTCTGTACGTGGAAAGGAAATGTTAAATATCCCCCACATCCTGACTAACCTATGCTTAGGTGAGGTGAGGTGAAATTGGGTTTAACGTCGCGTCCAAGATTATTGCACTTATATAGCGACGTGCATGCACGTGTGTGTGTGTGTGTGGCTGCTTGTACTAGTCCGGACTGATGCCGATTTATAGTGCTAGCTCACTGAGATACCATGCCACAGTTTAACATGAATACCCCACTCAGACACAGTATACTGACTCCGAGCCGACCAGTCCTTGTTTTAGCCCCTTAATGCCGAGCGCCAGATAGGGTAACAACAAGTACCATCTTTTAACGTCTTTTGGTATGACGCGGCCGGGGATCGAACCCCGGACCTTCCGCTCTACCACTAGACCACGGAGGCGGCACCTATGCTTAGCATAACCACACGTATAAAAATAACAATCTTACACAAGATGCCCGTGTCTTCCTTCCTACTGAATCTAGATTCTTAGAAAGTAGGTAACATTGCTCGAGATAGTGATCATCAGATATTCTTAACCAACATTTTACAAATTCGTGGTAATCTATATCAATGAAATGTCTACCACATTCAGCTAAACCTGCACTACTTGATGCATGTTTACCAACACCAAATGCATATTTACAAAAAATGTTATGGATTCTATCAATGGCATCTCTTTCTAAGAAGCCCTAAACCTCCGCTCCACATAACAAAACTTAAAAAACATATTTACAGGAACATTTGGGTATTTTTGTTGTAACTGCTTTATAACAAACAGAGCTTTACTGGCTTTAGATACAAGAGTATGTGAACACAATATCCTTTTACGTCCAAATAAATTCTTTTTTCTGATTGAGTATCTCTGGCGTTGACGTTTTATAGCTACTTGTTTCAGATTTGTCTATTAGTCCTGAATATTTCGCATTTGAATGTCATTCCTATATGATTATAAGACTGCCTTTGTGAACATTGTTCAAATTACAGACCAGTTGCTCTTATAAGTTGCTTAGCAAAAGTATTTGAAAAATGTGTATTTATATACGTATTTAATTTCTTGAGAGATAATAATATTTTTAGTAATTGATGCCTGGTGACTGTATTGCATTTCTGTTGACGTATCTTGATTTCACAGCAAAGACACTTGATAATGGTAAAGAAGTTAAAGCAGTATTTTGGGATACAAGCAAAGTCTTTGATGAGGCATAGTGTGTAAATCTAAAGCTTGTGGCATCCGCGGAAACTTATACAACTGGTTTAAAAGCTACCTTGAAGACTACAGAGAGTTGTTATCCAAGGTAGTAACTCAAGTAACTTTAAGTAACTTGAAACTTGTAATGGCTGGAGTCCCACAGGGGTCAGTTGTGGGTCCACTGCTATTTCTTGTATACATTAATGATATAATTGAAAGCATTGATAGGAATACTCGACTGTTTGCAGATGACACTTCGGTATATGTACTTGTAGAAGCCCCAAATACTACTGCGTATAATATCGATGCCGATTCAGAGGAAATTACCAAATGGGCAGATGAATGGCAAGAAAATTTAACCCAGAGAAAACAGAAACTATTCAATTTTCACGTACACTCAGTACTGCAGTAATCTAGACTTGCCAAACATTATAGACGTGCATAGGCTGTATTGGATATATTTGTATCAGGGTCTGTAAGACAGACTAGCCTTATTCCACAAAACGTCTAGAGTTGTTAGTGTTTACACATAAAGAAATCGATCCAATTTGCAGGCTATAAGATGTAGAACAGAATGATATGCCAAGTCATTCCTACCGGATGCCTATTAATCACTGGAATACGTTACCGGATAGAATAACTAAAGTAGAATCGATCGGAAAACTCATAAGATTATTAAACTTGGACAATGTTACTAATTTTAATTTAAACCATGGTACCAGACTTTGTCAGATAATCCATTCTCGCCTCAGACTCGGTTGCAGCGATTTAAACTTCTGTCGGCTTGAAAGACACATCTCAGATAACGCATCATGCTATTGTGGCTATCCATTTGAAGATATTCTGCATTATTTTGCAACAGGCCCTTACTCCAATATCTTAAGATCCGATTCGCTTTACAATTTGTGAGGTTACAGTAAATTGTTAATGACGTGTTTTTCTTAACAAGTGAACACCTTTCCATCAACCGCATCAAACTGTTGACCAGTACGTATACGTATGCATGTGTGTGTGTGAGTGAGTGAGTGAGTGAGTGAGTGTGTGTGTGTGAGAGTGTGTAAGTGAATGTGTGAGTGTGTGTGTGTGTGTGTGTGTGTGTGTGTGTGTGTGTGTGTGTGTGTGTGTGTGTGTGTGTGTGTGTGTGTGTGTGTGTGTGTAAACTGTAACTGTAATTCAATTCAATTCAATACCATTAAACTGTTACGGGTTAGCGATGGGGGACGTGGTTTCACCGAGATATTTTTAAAACGGGTTTAGAAGAAAACTATGACAAATAATGGAAGTCAATGAAAATCTCTGATTGTGTTGTTATGTATGACAGTTACACTTGGAATATATAGGTGAGCTAAGTGCAAGACGTACTCTAATGTCAGTTTTGACAGTTAGACTATTAATTTCTACAAATTCTAGTTTTTGTTTAAATAATCTACATAAGAAGAATATACTATGCGAAGAGGCAGAGCCAATAATGCTGCAAAGTAATTATCATAAAAAAACTCCTGTAATATACAATTATGGAATAATCATATAATTTCTAAAAACCTGCTGGACCAAAAACTACAACTTACGTTGATTTTGTTATTCTGCAACTGATCTAGAAAGAGATTATGATCATAGTGGCGTCACTTCCGGAAATACATTAAACCGAAGACGCCAAAAGTTAGACAGAGAAGAATCCAAGTAAACATCAAATATAAGATATGACAGTAATTTAGATGGATGTAATCTACCCAATAACATGTCCAGGAAGGTGTTTACGCATGGAACAAACTCGGAATGAACTACACAACCTTTGATGACGTAAGCGCCAGTTGATCGCGGGACCATTTGAGCCGATGTATATATAACCTACATGTATCATGTATATACTTATATATCCACCCAACACACACACACGCACGCACGCACACACACACACCACACAAACAAACAAAAAACAAAAAAACACACACAAAAACCCCAACACGTATCAATATTACTTAATATAAAATATAATTTTGTATAGGTATATTGTAGGTATGAGATTGTTAGGTATTAAATATATCATCGTAGTATTTATTATATTGGTAAACAAGTCATCCGACTTATGTTAATATACCGCTCCAGTACAGTAATGTAGCCAGATTTGCTAATGTTTCATGACCTTTAACGTGACACCTTCAGGATTAATATATACATTTGATCATATGCTTGATAGGGGTGGCAAATATGGGTATAGAAATAATTTGTGATTTCAGATGAAATAAGTTTCTTTACTTGTGAGATTTAACGTTCAATTGTCGGACTCCAGACATAGATTTATCAGAAGTTGGGTTCTGTGTTATATTATTTCACAAGTCATTAGCCATTACTGTTTTGAATTTTATCACATTATATCTTGACAATTTGTGATACAAGATATTTTCAGTCTGTTGTTACATTTATTCTTTCGTTAAGGAAGTGTTTCCGCCATATGCATCGGTTTCGCAAAACGGTAATTATTTCTTCAATTTTATTGGGCATATGTACTATTACACATGTTTCAAAGAAGGTAATTAAGCAATGCATTTGCCATGGAAATATTCAGATATAGCCCTCACAAGGTGCATTTACCTACCCATATGTACATCTGTCCAACATGTTTATGCATCTTTAATTTGTTTTAACGCTCTAATCAACCTTTGTTTTGGGGCGGTGGGGTAGTCTAGTGGTTAAAGCGTCCACTCGTCAAGCCTAAGGCCCTAGTTCGATTCCCCACATGTGTACAATGGAATATTGCTCACTCACTCACTCACTCACTCACTCAACCGTTTTCCTTGATCCGGATTCCTGATCATATACAAGGGAGCTTCAGCATTTCACGAATACATTTTAACACAATATTTCCCGAGTCCTACCTCTTTAGTGAACTTTTAAAGCTGTTATGCACATTCAGTATGTTCGACACATGCTGCTACTGCTTACTGTTGTAAACAAACGTGTATTGCAACACCAAAAGACTTTCGAAAAACGTTCAGGGTTGCTAGGCCCCCAAATCATGAACTTTTCTCTCAGAGACACTACAGCCTTGTAGAACATCTATAATGTTGCTGTTGTCAGGACGTCGAACGTCTCAGTTTATGGAAAGCTGAAGTAAAATTCATACGTAAAGTTGATCCAGATGTACATAACCCAGAGTTAATGTCTTTGTTTTAACGCGATCCACCAGAGAAGGGAGTCAAAAGCTTACCAGTTCCCCGTTTTAGGACAGGACGTCGAAAATCCTAGTATTTTTATCCACCTTTGTTCAATCGGTTTGGGCGTGGGTAGCCTTGTGGTTATAGCTTTGGGTCGGCACACACAAGACCCGATAATCCACATGGTGAACTTACATTGCGTTTGTTTTATGTTTCAGGGGAAACAGTAGCACCATTGGGAGTTTACTTTTGCAATGGACGAGACCTCCCCTCTTCTCAATGTTAACAGGGATGACAGGTAGCTAGCTCTCTTTTATTTGTAATTGTATCTTGATGCTTAACTTTGGGGTCACAAAATTAAATATTAACATTTGACGACAATATATTATTGTTATCAATGATATTCACAAAATGGCTATACCAATATGTGAATTTTTTAGTATGAAGTTAGTACTGAGACCTCGAATGAAATATACATAATAAATTGTTAAAGACACCTATTTTCTTTTACATTTTCATCCAATAGCATTACTACATTTAAGATTCCTATGTTCAACTCATCCGTGAAACTCTTTTGATTGGCTAACCAAGCAATTTAGTTTGTTTGTGTTTCTATAAAACGAAAGCTTGTTTGACACGCCCTCAAACTGACGACATTTTTCTGATTGTCGATGATTAAATAAGCAGTCTGTGACGTTATAATTGTTGACGTGTTTATTTATAAGAATTGATTTCAATCTGTTTTTCTGTATTTATGGAGTTACTCGTAGACAATATAAAATACAACTGAATCAGGAGAGCTATTGGAAATATTGCGTACATATCCAGTGAGTTAGCCAACCATTTCTGTTTTCAGATCGGATAATGGTGACAACATAGCATGGGCAGTAACTGACAGCATTAGTTTATTCTTCTCATGTGCGATCGTCGGCCTTCTCCTCTGTTTCCCCATAGCCCTGATCCGAGGAGATCTAATCATGATTCGACATATTGACCCATCACCGATTCGACCAAATTGTTTCCCAAATATATCCGAATCGGACCTAAACATATTTCACACGAAAGTTGTGAAAGAAAAGGCACGTCTACTCTATTTGAACATCACTATGCCTGAAGCTCAGAAAGACACACATCCGTTGCATGACATATATCTCCCCAACTGGTGGATGTGGGTGTCCTCAGAGGCGAGTGAAGTGTCAACCTTTCTATCCTGGCAAGAAGACTATGCAATATGGTCCTTTGGAATCCTTGACTTTTACACCTCTCGAGTTGCCCAGTTCCCGTTGCATGTACCCGAAGGCTGTAATATTTCCTTACAAAGTTCAGCAGTTATGGATATGGTTGCCGAAACACTGAATAACATGACAGTTAAGGCATTGTCGTATTTGAAACATGACTATAATGGTTCAAGATGGTGTAACAGATTTAAGATGTACAGAGAGACTAAAATGATAAGAAATTTTAGATATTTTGTTCATGATTTGGGTTCAGATTGCTATAAGCTCAACCACGATGGTACAACATACAAAGGCTCTATCCATCCAGAAACTACGTGGACTAATACCTCCTTTGCAATGAGTTACCTGGCACTATTATTTTCCCCTGTATGGTTTGTGTATCTTATTCATTACATTTCAAATAGGTCTCCTGTTCCTTGGCTTAGATGGGGAGGGTTACCCAGTGACGGTTTGCTGGACGAATCATATATCTACCTGGGGTTGAAGAGTCCTACAACCTTTTCGTCCATATTCTATGATGCACTGCAATCCATGTGTGAGAAATGTCGTTGTTTCCGGGTCTGCTTTACATCACGCCCTGCACATCTTCTTAAACCTTTTTTGCTTTTGGCTATGTCTCCGATCATAATATACATCAAAGTTATCATCTACAAAACTAATCGTGATCATCATTTTCTTCTTGACCGTCAAATCAAGTACAACATCCCTATAGGATTTTCTTCAATGCTATTCTCGTTAGAAGAGAAATCTAACAACTTTTTAACATTTACTTATGGACCATGTGTGTTTCTACTAATATATCACATTTTGGGTTTAATATTCATTGTAATAAAAACAATGTTTGTTATTGACTTTGACAATAGACATACAGGCAAAATTCCCCTTTCTTCCTTACATTTATCCCAAATGGATTCCATCAGAAGCCAGACATCTAACAGGGCACTAAACGTTATAGCTGAAAATAGCACACATCGTTGTCTATGTCTGTCATTTTTTAGACAGGTTTGGACAGAGGATTGCGAGCAAGGCAAATGTATTGGTATTTTGAAGTTCCCGTTTTCGTTTCTGTTTCATGTGATCCCATTTCTATTCACCAGTCATTTGATCATGAAAGGATATATGCAAGCCATATCGAAGAGCCTACCTAACCACACTGTTCTGTTGTGCTTTGTTTGTTTACTTCTAGCGACTTTATATTTCTGCCTCATATTCTGTTTCACGACAATTTTTCTTGCCAGCTTAGAGTTTCTTATTTTCATAATAACCTTCTGTTACATTGCCCTTGTCACGTATCCTGTTGAATCTGCAGGGTATTTTCTGTTTGCCATTTCCTCTCTCTCTTTCATAGCTCGCTGCCTCAGGGACGTTGCCCAAACATATCACAACCTTCTGTCTTTAACAATACAAGCATTGAAGGAAATGAATATCGAGGATATGGTCCTTGAAAGGAACAGGGGCCAAGATGTAGATACGCCGCCACCTATATACCCAATGTATGTCAATGGAGTTTATGGCATCACAAGGCAACTTTATGAAGAAATTGTACATAAATACGCTCCTAAACCCCAAATGATAGCTAAGGCCTTTTGTAAGATGGTTTTTGGCACATGTGCTCTTGGATGGACAATTTCGCTCATTTTCAAAATGCATTCAGATATTCAGCCTTTGTTAAATACATTAAGTGCAGTGGTGATTGTCAGCATTCCCGATTTACTATCGATCCTCATACGGGATTCCACTGTGCAAAACCGTGACTTTATTTATAAAAGCCAGCTTAAACAAACTATCAGAAATTTCAGGGAATGATACCAAATGATACCAAATTACCGATTCTGTGTAAATATGTGTTAGACTTGCCATGGCGTACGTGACACTTTCATAACTCGTCCCTGTTGCATAGCATCACGTGAAATGAAACATACAATGAAAGCTACCCCACTAATTCTCTCAGATGAAAGAGGCACCAACATTCAAGGACACTGTATGCCTCACAAAGCTGTTTTGTTGTGGTAACTACAATATTCAAGGGATGTCTGGCAACACATTTCGTGCAGAAAACATGATAGATATATACAAAGAGAATGTATTTCAAGTTTCGAGGACAACAGAGAACTTGCTATTTGGAGCGTTTCTGTATACGACTGTAACCTCATATATTTTGCCTCACTATGAGCGATATGACTTAATAATATTGGCGTGCGGTGTACAACGAAATCTTTGCAAGGCCTACATATTTTTCCCTACGGGTGCCAACCTCATGTTAGCTTACGAAGTTGCTGTGCTACATGCTTTCATTGCAAGTCATAAGTTCGAGTGAAGTATTACGGTGTAAAGAAACTGCTCGAGCATATAGAGCGCCATATTTTGTTAAAAAGCTGTTGTCGGTGATTTCGTAAATTCTGATCAACAACCCACTCAAAACACTGGACGCTTCACTCAATATTCTTGCTAACACAAAAGAGTTCGCGTTTTTTAATCATGTTAGAATGCAGATTAACATACTATGTTTTCAATGTAGAGCTAGGTTACCTGTATATTTAACCGCGCTAAATTTAACATTTGAAACCTCACGATTTGTTTACCTCTTAATTCATTCACTAGTGTTTGAAAAATATAGCGGCACCTTTGATGATTTATATGTAAGGTTCGATTCACATCTACAAATGTATATCTCTTAAAAGATGCCACTATAACACTCCCATACAGGTCATTTCTCGTTTGACAGTAATTACAAAAGCTTACAGGAGACATCTGTGAAAAAGACATGTTAACACATTTTGCGGAATCAGGGTAAAAGTATTTGATAACAACGTAACATATGTGAAGGGGTTTGAATCACGATCATTTTTGTGTACAGATGTTCTGTAGCCTATTCCAATGGACACGGACACATTCATCCATTACAAGATGAACGTACACTACTTGACATGTGACTTGTGTTACCAATGTTTGATACATTCTAAAAGAATTGATATTTATTGATAAAACATTTGTATTTGCACATTGAACAATGCTATCTGAATTTATAATGTAACTGTAGACGTTTGTATCGTACTAGAGATCTAAAAATAATGTGGATATATGCTTTGTTTCTCATACCTCTTTCGATGCTTAGAAATATGTTCACAATATTGTTCACTATGTAAATATTGTTTACCTATCATTTGTGATATTCTGTTTACTATTTCCTTGTGAAAATTGTAATATGTTACACATGTAATCTTCACCATAAACACTTAAACCAATCTTCATATCTATGGTATGACTATAAAATGCCAGTTTACCTATTTACAATATGACTGGATGGGTGTGTCAGTTTGGCATATGTAAATATGAATTTACTTGAAAAGATTCACACAAAATATCTTAAGCTGGCCTGTGACATTAGAAATTCAACTCCCCATTTCGTGGTATATGTAGAAGAGGTAGAGCATCTTCATCAATTTCTGTCATAAACTTTCTGGACCGGGTAGAGTAATTATGTTATCGAAAATGATCTATAACTTTGCATATCTTAAACACGTAACAACTAGTCATAATTCAGCCTGGATCCAGAATGTTGAACGCATGCTTGATAACTGTGGTTTATCGTATGTATTTAACAATCCACAGAGTGTCTCAATAAAATTAGTTAATAACCCAGGTAGAAAATACGATAAAAGATCAATTCTACCAAAACAGGACATCAGATGTTGGGAAGAGTTCAAAATAATAAGGAAGATCTTAAAATATATCCCGTAATTAAAAACAAAATCTCCCTTTATACAAACCCAATTTATTCTGATATTTTGACTTTCTAACCATCATCTACATGCGGAAGGAAGCCGTCGGCTTGGTATAGACAGAGAGCGAAGGTCAAATAAACTGTGCACATCGCCATCTTTCGCAAAGGGATGTCATTATGAGATTTTTAGCCGTGGAGCCTTGAAGGAATAAAGGAGCTCTCTTACATCTGGGCATCGTTCCACAAAGCCCTGTTAGCACTACGACTATCGTAAGCCAGTGTTAAAGTATGGGAGTTACGATCACCTCAGCGCTGAGATGGCTTTGTGTAACCGGGCCCTGATAAATAAACAAAACACACCACCAAATACATATACATGTATGAATCTCAATGATGAACTATCTATTTTTCAAGTTGATTGTACAACTTACAAGTGTGTCAACGCTGAAGCATGTGTTTATGAATACGTTTAAGTATATTCTATGTTTTCATTTTTAGGTATATGTGTATATGACTGAATGTAAATTGTGGATGTATACGTAATTAATCTCTTATGATATTTATCTTCACATGATCATGTTATTGGACGGTACATCACGTGGCATCTTTGCCTTCTTGTATTATGTTATTATTGTTGAATATTGTACATTTTTCTTGTTCCACCGTGAGTTAAACATGCTTTTTCTGAAAACTAGTAAAACTTTATTTGTTAAAAGGCGTTTGTTTACTTGTTGAGGTTAATACAAAAGTGTATACTTCAAGTAACTTTTAAATATATCATCAGTATATCAGTACATGTATATCATTTAGTTCTTCGCGTTGGAGTTCATTTGAAGTGTGTTAGCACGCGTTTCAATTTCCCACATAGGTGAGGTGAGGTGAAATTGGGTTTAACGTCGCGTCCAAGATTATTGCACTTATATAGCGACGTGCATGTACGTGTGTGTGTGTGTGTGTGTGTGTGTGTGTGTGTGTGTGGCTGCTTGTACTAGACCGGACTGATGCCGATGTATAGTGCTACCCCACTGAGATACCATGCCGCAGTTTAACATGAATACCCTACTCAAACACAGTACACTGACTCCGAGCCGACCAGTCCTTGCTTTAAACCCCTAAATGCCGAGCGCCAGACAACAAGTACCATCTTTTAACGTCTTTATGGTGAAAAGACCAAAATGTGAACAAAATGTGTGCGTGCGTGCGTGCGTGTGCAAGCACCACGGGTTTGCATACATGTGCCAGAAACCGGTTAGCGCAGATTTTAGCAATATTCCAACAATATCATGGCGAGGACTCCGGAAATGGGTTTCACACATTGTACTTATGTGGTGGACCGCCTCCGTGGTCTAGTGGTAGAGCATCCGCCCGGAGAGCGGTAAGTCCGGGGTTCGATCCCCGACCGCGTCATACCAAAAGATGGTACTTGTTGTTACCCTGTCTGGCGCTCGGCATTAAGGGGCTAAAACAAGGACTGGTCGGCATGGTATCTCAGTGAGCTAGCACTATAAATCGGCATCAGTCCGGACTAGTACAAGCAGCCACACAAACACACACATGTACATGCACGTCGCTATATAAGTGCAATAATCTTGGACGCGACGTTAAACCCCATTTCACCTTATATGTTTCTATAGTTGCGTTTTTTTGGCGGTGAGTATATATATGTTGTCTGCGCATGTTTGAGAAAAAATACTTTTCAGGCCAGTAGGTATAGATAACACAGTGCTCTGAGGCGCAGCAGCAGTTCACTGTGCATGTCCATGATATGCTTTTCGTAGAATGGGAAGATGTTTTGGGCAAACCCTTTCTAATTTTGTAGCTGATTCTGTGTCCAGGTATATGTCCCAGGCGAATCCCTAGTATCATCACCATTTGGGGGCGGTCGGGTAGCCTAGTGGTTAAAGCGTTCGCTCGTCACGCCGAAGACCCGGGTTCGATTCCCGACATGGGTACAATGTGTGAAGCCCATTTCTGGTGTCCCCCGCCGTGATATTGCTGGAATATTGCTAAAAGCGGCGTAAAACCATACTCACTCACTCACTCATCACTATTTAACAGTGATTCATAAACACATGGTCATGAATGAATAAAGTCGGAATCGTACAATCGACTCTGCTTTTAGCAGAGATGTCTACTGAATATGGAAAGGGTTTTGTCGCTTTTGTCTACATAAACCCTAAAGGCGATATAGGTTATATAATATTTATTATCTTTAACAAATCTACAGGTAACATAGCTCTTCAAACAAATCAGTTTTAACATCATCGACCAGCTGATATTGAAGATGTCTCAATACACTACACACCACATACATATGATATTGTTGTATCAACTGTGTCCATGGGCCGATGGCCTACAAAACAGAAATAAACTTACTACATTACACCACTATCAATATTATGAAAGAAGACTCTCCTCTTATTTTGATAATTGCTGCTGTAATATCAAATTGATATTTTGTCATCAATAGTGGAATGTAATTTCCAGTTGCATATTGTGATAGAACATCGGTTTCACCACTAATGCGACTACTCTCCTATTCGTCGAGATAATGATGACGTCGACAGGAATGCCCCAGGGATCCTTTGTCAGTTGGTGACGTCACGCGGGTTTTCCCATCCTGGTTCATGGAAGTGAAACTTACATACTTCCGTCATCTAACAATTACCATGAAATTAAAATATAACACGGTGTTTGTAATCCTCGAACAGAATACTACAACACATAAATAATAACCTTTGATCAATAATGACTTTGACTATGTAACATTTGAGCCTATAGCTGACAGTGACAGTGACTACTGTGTTTTCAAACCATCGTCCCACATTTACAGTCAGCGTATGGTCAACCGCTCAACCACGGTCGAGCATGTAGCAAAACTGCAACAACATACGTGAGGACGATACGTGGTGACGTATGTTGTGCCCTTAAACCTACAATGGTCTTAAGTCTACAATATTCATGAGTGGGCGTGGCTTGTGTATGCACACGACACTTATTTCGTACGCACTGCTTCTCAATTGAACCCGGAAGTGCATCGAACTTCTGCCGTGTTGTGACAGCATACAGCGTGCAGTGAGACTGCATTGTTTGCGGTACAGCAGAACCTGAAGAAACTTTCCTTTTTATCAATCTGTAAACTATCATTTTTTTATGCAAAACTAAGAGGAAATAAATCAAAATTTTTGTAAAACGTTCGTGTATTTTGTAAGCAAGTGTGGAATTTTAAGGAATTTTATTCCCAGTATCACCTTCCACTTTGCCATTGTCTCATGGAAAATAAACACTGGGAATTGGGCATTAAAATAGGAAATATTCCTTCTCGTTAGCAGTGTGTCATAACTCCCGTATAGCAACGTATATATCAAGTTCCATACCAACTACTTCTCGTGCACTCCGTGTTTCCTTCAGCGTTTTCAGTTGTGGTGTATTTGGATGGGCTAAATATGGACACGATAACTTTCTAAATATCCAGTATAACATTCAATTCAAAATTCAAATTCTAATCCAGGCTGGTAGTGTTCATATTCATTACATTAAATATGGTTAAATGTCAGTGGTTTTCATTCCCCATCAGATAATTTGAAGAGGACAAGAAAGTGATGTGTCCCCCCCCCCCCCCCCCCCCCCCCCCCCCACACACACACACACACAAGATGATTGATCAATATCAGTATTGTATATTCATAAAAATTATATTGAATTCGTTTTTGTTTTGTTTGCAGGTCTTACCAGTTGGAACTGGTGTTTATTTATATTGGTGTTCATGTTAGGGTCAGATAAAGTATAACTTTTTTTAATCAATAAACTGGAATTTAGTTGTGCATTTTTGGTATGCATTAGAAGTATTGTATACAGGCTACTAGTATATGGCTCCTTGTAATTCTATACTCATTGTGGGCAAGTCTAGATGAATCCAACGTCAAAATGTTCTTACTCTTTACATAATCTAGAAATTATTATTTAAAACTAATACGTTTTGCCTTCGAGACTTGTGCAAATGTAACAGGCTACCCATTGTACAGGTTAGGCAAATTAAACAGTACAAATGTCTCAGTTGGTTTATAAGACATCATTAGTTAATGTAAGTGTTTGGGACATCCTGTGAAAACATAAACAAAGTAAATTGTGGCAGCAGTGAGGTAGTTTGTTTTAATGCTGCTATAAGCATAATGCCAGTCACATCACTGTAGAGGGCACCAAGTGTACACATTTGCATGTGGGTGGGGTGAAGTCACATACCAGTCAGCAGGACCTGTGCCCTACATCTGTGTATATTATTAGTTTTACACTCACATCTATACATAGGATGTGAAGCACATGTATTACCATGAATAGAACACCTTCTTTACATCAAATTATACATGCATTTTGTCTGCTGTTAAATTGTGTGTTCAAATCTGAAGAAAGAAGAGGATACTCCTATGTAGGAACTAAATAATGTTTGTGTAATTATGTCTCCCCCAGAATGGAGGGAGACATATTGTTTTTGGCACGGTTCCCGTCGGCGTCGGCGTCGGCGTCGGCGTTCCCACCGTTTCCGGACCATAACTCGGAAACCGTTTAATATTTTTTCGCGAAACTTTGTATACACATTAACCCAGCACTGAAGTGGTGCCTTTTGCTATTTAGAGATTTTTGACATTTTTAGTTTTTTCTCGTTTCCATGGAGATAAGTTGAACATAGGCTCTGAATGGGGGTAAGCTTTGTTTCCTGACCATAACTCAGAAACCGTTTAATATTTTTTCGCGAAACTTTGTATACACATTAACCCAGCACTGAAGTGGTGCCTTTTGCTATTTAGATATTTTTGACATTTTTATTTTTTCTCGTTTCCATGGAGATAACTTGAACATAGACTCTGAATGGGGGTAAGCTTGGTTTCCGGCCCAGAACTCGGAAACCGTTTAATATTTTTTCGCGAAACTTTGTATACACATTAACCCAGCACTGAAGTGGTGCCTTTTGCTATTTAGATATTTTTGACATTTTTATTTTTTCTCGTTTCCATGGAGATAACTTGAACATAGGCTCTGAATGGGGGTAAGCTTTGTTTCCTGACCATAACTCAGAAACCGTTTAATATTTTTTCGCGAAACTTTGTATACACATTAACCCAGCACTGAGGTGGTGCCTTTTGCTATTTAGAGATTTTTTACATTTTTAGTTTTTTCTCGTTTCCATGGAGATAAGTTGAACATAGGCTCTGAATGGGGGTAAGCTTTGTTTCCTGACCATAACTCAGAAACCGTTTAATATTTTTTCGCGAAACTTTGTATACACATTAATCCAGCACTGAAGTGGTGCCCATTAGTTGTTTGAAATTTCTAGGAGTTCTATTTTTGTCTCTGTTATTTAGTAATGGAGGGTGGGAATGAAGAGATGGGGTTTAACGTGAAATTAACGAATGAATGGGGGTTAGGGGAGTGGGGGGAGACATATGTTTTTACGAGTAAAAACACTTTCTAGTTAGAGATGGTGTAAGCTTCACATTGGCTTTTAGTTTGTGACACACGATTGGACATTCATGCAATGATAACTTAATACAAGAAAGAAGTGTATGTAGCTGAACATAGATAAGCTGTTCAAGGTACATTTGTCAAGGTTGACATTGTGTGAGAAGTCAGATTGTAGACATCCATCACCTCCTGGGGTTAGTTGTTGGTGTATTCACTTCACATGACAAAA